TCGTTAAGTCGCATATAAATGTCAACAAATATTTATTTCCGGAGTCAGAAACGGGGTAAGGGCCGCAAATATCAATACAAATTTTTTCGAAAGGCTCGCGGGCTGTTGTTGTTATAACTAAAGGTTGCCTTGTTTTCTTACATACTTTATTTTTTTGACAATCAGGACATTTGCTTACATATGATTTAATTTGTTTTCGCATTTTTGGCCATTTGTATATGCTACGTATTCTGCTGAACGTTTTTTTATGGCCCAGATGACCTCTCGTATATTGTAATCTATGAAATTGGTTTAAAATCTTACTTATCTCATCCGGTGTTAGGTTTTCAATAATTTTGTCATAATAAATTTTTAATTTTATGTCGGTGTCTCTGAAAATGTATCGTAATAAAATTCTAAAATTTTCTATTGGTATGTGGCAAAAACTTTGAAATTGTGCGGGAGCTGGAATAGCAATGGATTTAATATTTTCTTGAATTAAATGAGCTTTTAGATTTAAGAGGCAATGGAAAAAATCTTCAAGTGTTGGCTGGGAATTCATGTTATTTACAATTGAGTAAAAAATTTGTTTTTGAGAGTAATTTAAGTTGAAAAAATCATGTGTTCCGTAATTAGCCAAATTGTTATTAATGTTACTATGTTGGAAAAAATCGAAATATTTAGTTAATTTATCATCGGGAGTTTGGTTTTTTATCACGAATATCAATGCGGACTCTTCATGTTTTAGGGATGTGAGAAAAACTTCATTCGATTCCTCGATATTGTTATTAATTATAACCGAGGTTTTAATAGTATTTAAAAAAAATTCAAAATTATTTTCGGAATTAAAATTGCATCTGCATAGAAGAGATAATTTTGGTTTAGAATCGATAGGAATAGATGAAATATTTTCATTAGAAGCTAATTCTTGAATATCAAAAAATGAGCGAGATAAACTATCAGCATTCGTATTAGATGATCCAGATTTATAAATTATATCGAATTCATTTTCTTCTAAAGAAAGCCTCCAGCGCATTTGCCGTGAATTTGGATCTTTACATTTGTACAAGTAGATAAGGGGCATGTGATCGGTGTACAATTTGAATGGTTTTCCATAAAGGTAAGGTCGGAAATGTTTTATGCTCCACACGATTGCTAAAAGTTCTTTGTCTATAGTAGAATAATTTTTTTCTGCGGGGTGCAAGGTTCGCGATGCATATGCAATTGGTAAATCTTTTCCTTCGACGTTTTGAGATAGAACCGCGCCTAATGCAAAACCGCTTGCGTCCGTGGTTAATGAAAATTCTCGATCGAAGTCGGGATATTGGAGTAAAGGTGGATTTATTAGTTTTTGTTTAAGTTCATTAAATGCAAGTTCACACTCTTGGGTCCAATTAAATTTTGCGTCCTTTTTTAATAATTCGGTTAGAGGTAATGCAATTCGGGAGTAATTTTGTATAAATTTGCGGTAGTAACCGGACAATCCTAAAAATATTTTTATTTCTTTTTGATTGGAAGGATTGGGAAAGTTTTTTACTGAGGAAATTTTATCAGGATCAGGAGACACACCGTGTGCACCGATAATATGGCCTAAATACGTAATTTCGTGTTTCAAAAAATGACACTTATCGGGTTGCAATTTTAGATTGTATTGTCGTAATTTTTCTAGCACTTCTAGTAACTTGGTATTATGTTCTTCAAGTGTTTTCCCGTAAACTATTATGTCGTCCATATAAACTAGAGTTCTAATTCCTTGTATGCCCGACAAAACTGTATTGGTCAGTCTCTGTAAAGTCGCCGGTCCGCCCTTAAGTCCAAACGGTAACCGTTTATACTCAAAATGTCCGAAGTCAGTAGAAAATGCAGTTTTTTCTCGGTCAGTTTTATTTAGTAAAATTTGATGAAAGCCTTGAGCTAAATCTAGAGTCGTGAAAAATCGTGAGTTACCTAGTTGGTCAATAATGTCAGTGATGTTTGGTAAAGGGAAAGCGTCCGATTTTGTAATTGCGTTTAATTTTCGGAAATCGACGCAAATCCTCCATTTTTTATTTCCGTCAGCATCAGGTTTTTTGGGGACAATAATTAAAGGAAAATTCCAGGGACTTTGCGAGTTTTGAATAATATCGTCTGCTAACATCTGTGAAACTTGTCGGTGAATTTCTGTTTTATGAGCGTGCGGTAATCTGTAGGATTTTATGTATATGGGTTTTTCGTCATTTTCGACGGGGATACTATGAGTAATCGTATTTGTATATGTCAGTTTGTCGTTTTCTAAATAAAACAGATCATGAAATTTTGTACAAATATTTAAAATTGAATCTTTTTCGAGATTTGTCATGTGATTAGTTTTTATGCATTGTAAAACTTTTTGTACTCTTTGATTCTTGTCATTATCATCAATTGTGTCGTTGTAATTTACGTTATTGAACAAACATTGAAAATCGATTGATTCTTGATTAGATTTGATAGATTTATTTTTATTAAGATTTATAGAGTCGATTATATCAAAGTTGCTTAATAACTCGAAGTTTACGTCTTTTGAATTAAGGAATTGACGATCTGACGTAGGATTAATAACATTTATAAAAAAACAATTTTCAATAGGTTTTACAATGCAGTTAGCTAATATCAATCCGTTTTCATATTGTTTTGAAAAACATACTGCTTCGTCGTTTAACGCAGTTTCGATTTTTAATGTTGTTTCGGATCGAGGAGGGATTAAATGTTTTTCGAAATTAACTAAAGGGGTTGTAAACTCTTGGTTATTGATTTCTAGTGAAAATAATTTAGAATGATAATTAATTTTTGCTTTAAATTTCAATAAAAAATCTTTACCGATGATTCCTGAATATTTAATTGGAAGATTTGATACAACTTGAAACGGGAATTCTGTATTTTGTTCGGAAAATTTAAGGTTAATATAAGAAACGCCATGGGTTGTTAATGAATTTGATGTTATTCCAATTAGTTCAATTTTTTTATCTGTGTATACAAGAGTCTCTTTATCAATGTTATGAACTTTAATTAATGATATGTCACTACCGGTGTCTATTAAAAAATTATGAAAAGTATTTGGTAGCTGTGTAGTTTCTAAAATGATTGATTCATAACTGTTCGGAAAATTTAAATTTATATTGTTACAATTGCTATTTACATGAATGCCCGTCCCGGAACGGGCTCTGGCGAGTTTTTTGAACTTGAAGAAGGTGTATTCGATTGGATTTCATTATTTTCAGCTATCGGATTAGGATTATTAATAGATAAACAAGTTTCCTGTTTTATTTGCGGAACCATAGAGATTTGAGTTGGTTGGAAAAAGTTTTTACGATTGGGATGTCTACATTGATCAATCGTATGACCGAATTTCTTACAATAATTGCAAATTATCTGTGAATTTTTATGCTCGGTTTTGAAAAAACAATTACCACTGCTATGCCCCATTTTATTGCAAAAATCGCATATTAAAATTGAGGATGAATCGGTATCTTCGGCAATGGCAAAATCTATGGCGTCATTTAAATTATCAAACCTACAACATTTTACTAAATTTTTCAATGGCATTTTCAGTCCATTAATAAAAGTTCTGAGAGCCATTTCATTATAAACATTTTGTAATTTATCCGCGACTGTCTGATCGTGTGTATCACAATCTTTATCATAAATTCTGTACAATAGTTTATTAATTCTTTCACTGAAAGATTTTACCGATTCATTGGGTTTTTGTTTGTAATTTAGCAACTCTGCAAGAAGGATTGATACAGGAGTTTTTTCCGTATATTCTTTATACAAAAATGATTTTAATGAGTCCCATGAATAAATTTTGTTACGTATTATTTTTATTAGTACATGAGGTGGGAATTTACTTTTTATGGTTAAAAATAGTTTTTGTGATTCACTGGCCTTTAAGTTTTCATTCAGTGAATCACATACATCAAAAAAATACGTACATCAGTTTCGTTTTCAATAAAATTCGGTAATATAGCTAAGGCTAAATTTAAATCTAATAAGTTTTCATTCAAAATTGTAGATTGGTTCTCCATCTTGAATTTGTAATAATATATGAATTTTCTTACTTGAATTCCTTTTGATTATGATAGAGGGTTTTGTTCACCTTGATCGTCGCTCCAGGGTTGTAGATTTAAGTCCTGATTTGGTCCCACGTTTTAAACTTCAAAATCTTCTTCTGAACTTGTTATTATTCTTTTTATTAAATCTTCCAGTTATTATTTTTATTAAAATTATTTTGATGATTTTATATAGATTTTCATCGATTTTAATTGATGCACTTTATTTTTGTATCACTTGTAAATTTTAAGAGTTTGCTTATTTTTCACACACTTTTTGTTTTAATTTTTTTTTAATTTATTTTATTAATTTGCACTCTTATCTCGGAGTTGGATTCGATTAAGCTGCCACCAAATGAAGAGACGTTAGTAATCAATTTACTAATTAATAATTAAATGTAACCAATTTTTAATAATTCTTGAGTAGATTAGGGTTTTATTTTGAATACTTTTGAATACGAGAATTGGAACATTTGTAGCTCTTCGGGAAGTGTGTGAAATCAAAGAATTTATTTAGATACAAAAATTTATTTATCGCTTTATTATAATATTTCAGTTGTTGCTTGTTCAAGAGTTCAGGACTAACTAACTTATATTTTTACATTTTTAAAATATTTCCAATATTTCTAGTTTTATGATAGCTCGCCGAAGGTACATGAGCTATCATAAACTTTTATTAAGGGTTGTCTGGCAGATGTACAAAATATTCGCAACATTTACCGTTACTTAGGACATCGTTCAAAAGAATTTACTTACGACTATTATTTATAATTATAAAGAACACAATTCTCAACACACCGTAGGCCGTAAACTTGAAAAATGTTTGATTAGTGAGTTTAAAATTCGTTTTGTCGTTGAATGCGTTGAATGATGGTTGAATGGCACAAATCCGAAAATCTCAAAATCCCGAAATGTCCCGAAAGATGTCGACCGTCGACCGTCGACCGTCGAGCGTTCGTAATTTTGGATCGGGTACTGACTAAATGGAAGAATTTGAAATCGGCGCAGTCGGCGGCGAGCATAGGGATCGCGTGAACAAGCAAACAAGCGCCGAACGCCGAACGCCATCTGAGCAGTCCGACAGGAATGTCGAACTACACGTTTTGGCGACAGATTTTTCGTACATTGTCAATAATTAATATTTTAACAAAAGCGAATACAGTGAACGGTCAGTGATTTTTATGTTATCCGTTAACGTAATTCACTTGTGATACAAAGCAATAGGCCGTCAAAACAACCGTGCGGGTATAATGGCAGCACTCCCTCGGCGTATAATAAAAGAAACACTTCGACTAATTCAGGAGCCAGTGCCGGGAATCAGTGCTATTCCGGATGACAGTAATGCACGCTATTTTCATGTCGTCGTAGCCGGGCCCGAGGACTCTCCATTCGAGGGGGGCTCATTTAAACTAGAATTATTTTTACCCGAAGACTACCCCATGTCTGCGCCCAAGGTCAGATTTATCACGAAAATATATCATCCAAATATTGACAGACTAGGTCGTATCTGTTTGGACATACTGAAAGATAAATGGAGCCCCGCTCTTCAAATCAGAACGGTACTCTTATCAATACAAGCCTTACTGAGCGCCCCTAATCCAGATGATCCTTTGGCAAATGATGTGGCTGAATTGTGGAAAGTAAACGAAGGAGAGGCTATTCGAAATGCAAAAGAGTGGACTAGAAGATATGCCATGGAAAATAATGGAGAATATTAAAATAAACAATATTTCATTAATAATTTTTCCATAATTATTGTGCTTTAGTGATTTTTTTTATTACACATGTAAGTCGAATGATTTTACAAGAGCACTGAATCTAGTTTTAATATATTTAAAACTCATGCCGCCAGGTGAGACTATTACATCTGATTTTAAATAATTGTAAATTAGCAACCTTGTATTAATTGATAAATTATGTAAAGTTTTTATTTGTCACAAAATGTTTTACGATAAGTTATTGGCAAATGGATAATATTAATATAGAAAGAATTAAATTAAGCTGCTGTATGATTTTGCAAATATATTTAGTTATGTAAATTTACTTTTATTAATATTTCAGGTATTCGAAGTAATAAAACAACTTATAGCATGAGGTTAATTTATTTGATCCATTTATGCTGACTAGAATACACTCTTAGTTTACGAACATTAATTAAACAGTACTTTCTATATGTATAAACACCAGATATGACTCGAGACATATCTAGTAATTTACCTGTATGTCAAGTGCGACTATTGTTCCCCAAAAGCATTTATACATATGAAATTTTATATAGCTTCAGTTTTTGCCTTAATTTTAGTTTCATACTTTAACATAAAATATAAACTGTTATCAGGTATAATTATTTGTTAGATGTCCACCATGGCATGTTGTATTTTAAATATGGAGTTACAGAGCTTAACACAAATAAGTTAGTGATTTATATTAACAACAAATAACATGGACACAAATTAAATCACAATAACATAGACTCAATTTTTAAATTTATGTACTTTTATTATATGATTACCAACTGTGAATTTAAAACACATCTTTTTTTAGCCATAGTGATCATTACACAATAAATATAATTTTATAGTTTTATTTGAAGAGGATATGAATTGCATATTTCAGTCCATATTTTTCTATCTAGTCCAAATTCGGGACTAAAAATGCTTTGATGAAAAACAACTATTTCTGATTTAAAGTATCACTTCACAAAGGCCATACTAACACTGCCAAATAGTCGAAAGTTTTCCACTGTTTGCCTTCTAAATTTGTATTGTCATTTATTATTATGTAATGCTAAACACATTTATACAAGTCATGGCTTTTAGAACTGTTAAATATACAGTGAAAATATTAAATATATAAAGTTAGTGTGTTCTTCAAATGATACTGAGATAGACGGCTTCTAAAATGAGGCAGGCACTTCATGTGTCTTTTTGATCAACTAGCCTCATTCGTAATTATATATAAATTGGATTCTCTTGACCAGTTAATAATCTAAACATAGATGTCGGCATGGTTTTCATTAAAATCTAAAAATTGAAAATTGCATTAATTCATTTATGATTGTAATTTATTACAATGTAATAATAAAAAATCACTAATACCTCGCCAACAGATGTAGCAAGCAGATTAACTATTTTCTCATGTGGAACAGCTACGACACTCTGGTTATTGATTTCTATTATCCTATGTCCAACACGAACACCACCTCGTTCGGCTATTCCACCTCGGAGCAAACTGCAGATCTATAGCAATATCAAAGCTTTAGTTTTCATTGTATGAATTTTTAAATTTTAATTAATAATCTAAATAATGATATGCATTGCATTTTACTGCTGATCCTAATTTATATTTGAAAATCATTGATATGAGCATATTATATTATTCAAGTAAAAAGAACTTACCACACCATTTTGTACACTGAACCCTAATTGATACTTGGTGTCTGGCCTTTTAATTTTGACTTCTACTACTGGTGCACATGGCACTACGGTTAATTTAACAACAGTTTGATTTTTTGAGTTCTTAATATAATTTTGACAGGTTGATAAGGGCAATCCCACTAAGCTAACACCATTGATGGCAATTATTTGATCACCGATGTTCAACTGGCCGCATCTGGCTGCAGCTCCTGCAGGTGCCAAATTTGCTATCACCACAGTTGGTAACATTGAACCCCATCCAGATTCTACAATAACCACTCCTAAAATTTCACCTTTTGCTTTAGGAACGACCACTTCTTTTTGCATTTCTTTCTTTGCAAACATTTGGAGTTCATCTCCAAAAATTTCTTGACTGTTCAGAACTTCTTGATAGTCCATTTCTTTCACAAAACTATGATCCTCAATTCCATTAGCTTTGAGAAATTCCATGTAAGCCACTTGGAATGCTTGACCTATAGACTGAGCTATAAATTGTGCTTCCTCACTTTCAAACACATGGCAAATCATCTTTGGTGTACGATTCATTTTGGGAGGATCTTCCATTTCATGTGGTACAAATCTTCTACGTGCCATGAGTACTACTAAATCTCCTATATCTGCTATGTAAGAAATTGTCCGCAATGCATGATCCATCATAATTTCCTTCAGATCTGTATTTAATACCATTATTTTTTCTGTAGAAATAAACAAATCGACTTCCGTGCTTGGCTGGTTTTCTCCTTCGGGTGCCTAAAACAGAATTGATTAAAATGTGTTAAAAGGATATGAACAATTTTATGTAAATCTTTGATAAAATACTTACCAAAGCCTGTAATGACATCAGAAAGCAGAGAAAAGAAAATTAGTTGTTAGATTTCATATTAAGAACAGAACAAATATGATATAATAAGTTGAATGCAGAACGATGTTTGTGTACTATAGCAGACCTTGATTTTAGTAACGGCTTCTTCAACCATATTTTTCTTTAATCTTTTACGCTTTTTACGTCCGCACTCTTCATCAACTTCTACTGAGCCCAGAAAATGTAAATGGAAAACTGTCCCAGTTGATCCAGAGCCCACAGTGAATAATGGAATTGATGTTATGATATGAGATTGAATATCAACAGGGCTCCCGAAATTCAGATTAAAGTTAGTTAAAGGGGTGTTCCCCGAGCTCATCATGGTAATGATACCAGAACCAGATGAGCAAACTGTTTGCGTTAGCGGTTCGTGACATGGGCTATCGCAATCGGTATCAGACGGCCCTAGGCCAGTACTATCATCAAAACTGTCTTGAGAGTCGATGGAACAAGTGCCATATTGGTGAACGTGAGTTTGTATTTGGTTGCCAACACCTGCATCCTGTAATTGCAGTTTTGTTTCTCTCAATTGTTATCAATTTTGAACACTAGGGAGTTTTACTGTTTGATTTTTGCTTTTCCAGGAAAACAGAAAGATGCAATAATTGATTGTGAAATGTATGTATGTACAATTGGTGAACAACACACACAACATATAAATAATACAGAAGAGCAGCTATTTATGGTGTGCTTGATACAATATGTAGGATGATGAGTGCATTGTGTCCGATATTGGATATTTGCAAGAAAGTATAGTGATAGAACATATATTAAGTATACTAACATAGTATAAGTAAGATCTCCAATCACAGAAATTATATCATAGAGCATAGGCAGCAGGCGCAGGCAACCAATAACAAATATACTTATTTACGCTTTTTTATATAATCTTTCAACTCAATAAAATTGATGAATCAAAAGTGCTATACATAATTCTGCTTGTAATAAACTTACACCAGTCTGCATTCATATATTATACACATTATATAAAATCCACAAATAATTCTAAATAAACAACAAATAAGAAACTATTTTTGTTGTTTTCTTGATACGTCTTTCCTATCAAGTAGGGAGTTGATACCATTTAGAGTAGTTAGAAGCGATAGTGGCAAACGTTAAAAGTGAAAAATCCATAAACCTCCAAAAACAATATTGTGATAAGCTATATAACATAAGAAAACATTTTTCATGGTACATAGGAACATAAATCATGATGAGTGGTGCCAGGTGTTTCAAATTGATTTATCCCCACGATGTCGGTACCTTGATTCGGCTGACCGCTTCTTCGGCCTGCATCATACGAGTGGACTTAGTTGGCTGACCCTCGCACACCAGCTGCGTTGAACCCAGATAACGTGCCCGAAACAGCACGCCCTCGATAAGCACTGATGGTTTATGTCGCACGCCTGCAACATTATTTACTATATTGTTCATGTCATAAAACAATGTTCCAATTGTTATTAACATTAAAATCTGTGCTACTCAACGAGTTCTGTACAAATTATTACTTTCTTAGAAATTGTTGTCGGTTGTAATAGGAATTGTACTAATTCAAGTTATTCTGTTTTGGTAGTACAGTAGAAGTTCCTTATTCGCGGGGGTATACGTTCCGTAAAAATGCCGCGAATAGAAACTCCGCAAATACAGGTTGACATTTTATATGGATTATAGGTAATTCATTCCAGGATGACAAAATAAACCGCAAATAATGAATAAATCCGCAAATACAGGATGGCATTTTATATGGAATTGTAGGGGATACGTTCCAAGGTGACAAAATAAAGAAAAATAAATATTGTTGAGAACTATTCTGTGATATGCAATATCTTGAGTATAATAATAGATCACATATTAAAATTAGTAATAAGTTTAGTATCCAATCTAACATTGATATACAACTTTATATTAATTACGATAATATATTAAAATTAGGGTCAATTTATAAAAATTTTATATTAATGTTGGATGTGGAACTAAACTTATTATCAACTAATTTTAATGAAAGATCTATTCTACTTAAGATATTGCATATCACATAATAGTGCTTAGCAGTATATAAAACAAAAATCATTTTTAATTATAGTTTTTGTACATTTTGATTTGATATGTTGAAGCTAAGGCAATAGTTTGAAGAACTTTGCAATATTGTCTTGCTTGGCAGTTTTTAACTGCTTCAGTAATTCAAACTGACAACAGTCACAGCAGTAATTTGCCCCTTAAAAATAAGAATTTCCATATACAGATCAATGTCCATACAGAAATCTCACAGTTCATTTTTAATTCTTCACTGAGATTTTTCAAATTAAATATCACGTTTCTATTACTTGTAAAAGCAATTGAAAAGAATTTATCTTCTTCAATGGACTGGGAATTTCATATCGATTTGAGTCAAATTTTACTAAAAATATATTTTATTCATTGAGTAATAAATAAGGTTGTATTTATTCGAATAGTTTACATTTTCAAAAACACCGATAGCGCGAAAACGGCCAAGGCAACGGAGACGGCTTATTTCAAAGATTTCTTTGTTAGTTCTAAGAGACATTTACGGCATTTACAAAGGATTTTGGATTCGATACATATTGGAATCCGCGAGTAACGAAATTTTTAGCCGCGAATATAGGAATTTGGTCGCAATTTTTTTTTGGCTGCGAATAGCGAAAACGCAAATGAAGGAAGCGCTAATAAGGAACTTCTACTGTATTAGCTTAAGATATAATGAATAATCATGAACAAATAAAATAGCATTACATAATATCTTTACCAAATTCAGGACAAGACGTGCAATTGGTTTCCAAGGTGTCTTATAATGTTATGAAATCAAAAAAGGTTAGTGCTTTAGTCAAATATAAACCTATTAAACGCGATTTTTATATGTGATTACTATTTACTGTAAATTATAATTATGCGAGACTGCTAGTGTATCAATTTAGTAAAACGTTCTTTCCCAAATATCATTGCACTTTATTTTAGAAGTTTCAGTGCTTACCAGAAGCAAATCCAAAGTAAGCAAGAAAAGGATCGTCTTATATTAAAATGATGAATTAAAATAATAAAACTTATATGATATAGAAAGTAACAAAATTTACCCTCTTTATTTCTGCTCTTTTTCTTCCCATCCTTATCCTGCAAAAAAAAAAATCAAATTATTTCAGAATATTACAATTACGTTTTTAGAGAGAATAAAAACAATAATCTACATTTACTATTCTGCATATGTATATACATACATACGTACATATATATATATATATATATATATATATATATATATATATATATATATATATATATATATATGTGTGTGTGTGTGTGTGTGTGTGTGTGTGTGTGTGTGTGAAAAGAAGTAAATATCATAAGTTGTTCGGTAAATTTTTAACTAGTGTGAATCAAAATTCTACTGAATCGGTAACAAAATTTTAAGTATGTTCCTTAAATTCGTATATAATGTAAAAAAGTCTTACAGAAAATTTTTCATTATATATACTCAAATAGTAAAAAAAAGGCATGCAGAAATACTACATGCACTGTTTTGAAAAAACTAAATAAGATTAAAAAAATAAATTATTTTAAAAAGTAGTACATAGTTTACAGTATGTTCATTTTTGATATTTACATATAGTATAGACATTTTTTTTCTTTAAATTTTTCAAACTATTTTAATTCCTTTCGAAAATCGGCACACGCTGTATTCCAAAATATATCAGATAAGTAGTCTCTATACTTATCAAACTTACTACAATAGTAAGTTATCAAAATCAATACACACAACACTTTTCTTAGTTCTGGGCAATATTAACAGGAACATTTAATATTTGCCACGATTTATGAATCTACCAATTAATATTTCATTGTTTTCAAAATTATAACTTTTAAAAATAATAAATATAATTTCATTGACATTTGAATAAGCTGATACATCATGTAGAATAAAAATCGTGAATGAACTAGATATAACAGCGCGTTTTTTCACTATCTTCAATAAATACTTCATTGAGACTTTTATTATGTCGTTTCTTTCAATATTTATCTATAAAAGTACTATATTGTCTCAATTAAATGATTTTTTTTTTAAATCATCGAGAAATATAGAATTGCATCAATTTTTTTCTTCAATTTATTTTTGTTCTAAATTTATTTTAATAAAGTAATGAAAAAAAGTTAAGTTGTCATATTTTAGATAAATATTCTTAAAAAACAATATTTTAGATCAAGCTAAACATTTTCGGTCCAAACTTTGTACAAAATATCTTAATATGTGTAATTACCAGCGAAATAAATGAAATCTCAATTCGATATTTATATTAGAGTGAAATATGACAAGTTACAAATGTATAATAAAATACTTATTGAACTTACATAAAAATATGCAATAACCAGAAGCGTAGCTTGCCTTGGCTGCGACCTACATAAAACTTTATTTGGTTCCCTTATGAAGCATAAAGATTTCTCACAAATGATAAAAACCGCAAAAAATTAAAAGAAATATTTTATTATAATCATCTATATGATGTTTTTTTCAAAATTTTTACAAACACTCTTCTTGCCTTTTTTCGGCGCACTGATTTATTAAGAATATACTCTCTGGTCTAAAGGCATGAATTTTATGCGTTCTTTGAAAGGCCGTAAAAAAGAACAAACAATATTCTTACTATTTTTACAAGTTATTAATAAATGTTTTGATAATACAAAGAAGTGAATAGTGAAAAAAGTTTTGATTCTAAATCAGATGACTATAGCCATGATTTTAGCCATCCGAATAATACGAAAAAAAAAAATATATAGATCATTAATCTCATGAATTATGGACTAGAAGAGAAAAAGGTTTTTTTCACAAAATTAGCGGCTGTCTGAAAAAAAATTTGTTTGATAACTTCAATTTTGTTAAAAAAAAATTGGGCATGAGCGTAGTGCTCAAGAAAAGTCTAGTTCAGAGAAGACTCTAAAAATTACAAGTAAATCGGTTCAATTAAAATTGAGAAATCATGGGTATCGTATCAAAAAAAGACAGATTCGTAAAAAACATATTTTCGCAAAGGAAGGAGTCCGAGCAGGATTATCGCGGTAAACGGCTACATCTTCGAAAATAATTTAAATTTTGAAAAATCCTCTGCTATAAAAATCGATTTTTTATAAATTCTAGACCAGAAGACCTCCTTAAATCAGATTATATAGTTGATGACGAATTTAGTGCTTCTGAAGTTTTTTTTGAGCGCACACTTTTTTAACTTTTGTCATATGTAAAAAAAAGTTTACTAAATTTTGGTTGCCCACATTTGAAGTTCGGGTGATCGATACGGCAAGTAAGGCAGCAGCTACGCTCCTGACAATAATAACTATTTTATTGAGACAAAACAGACTTTCCATGCATAATACAATCAGATCGATTGGCTTCGCTCCTTTCGTCCTGTGATGCGTATTATGGCAAATATATTTTGAAATGTGTCTAACTAATCTATCAATCAATGTTCATATATTGATTATATAGTATTATAATTTCAAACTACAGTCGAGAAAATAGTCGAAGGATCATGCAATAAATGCAAAAATGGGGTATTATAATCTAAATTATGAACGAGTGACGGGCGAGTGCGATAATTCACACCTTTTGTGTTTTGTTCGAATCGATGATGGGACTTGCAGATTCGTCACTGTGGTTCACCGAATGCCGCAGACCGAACGCGTCGGTGCACGCCAGCTCAGAATCGCCCGTTAACTAAATATGGTTTTGGCTTTTATTGGAATGTGTACTTAACTTAATCCATTATCCATTTAATATATGGATATACATATTTATTACATGAGTAATTACATACATTCTCTATTACAATACACTCTGCTGCTACTAAAACTGTGATGGGTGTTGATTGCACAGTTTCAGTTTCTCAATTTGAAATAAAATTAATTTGCTCTCTTAAATTTAACTAACTACTATTTAAATCTTTTACCGGTATTAATATTGATATTTCTCTAAATAAAAGTTAGGACTATTAGTATTTGAGTTAAAAAATAAGTAAACTATTAGTCAATTATATCAACATAAGAGAAATGTATTATACACAAATTATATTTTTCACCTTATCGTCATAAAATCCTTGATCATCTGTGCGTTGTTGACCAAGTAAACGATCAGTTTCCAAATCCGTGTCTGCTTCTTCTTCATCGCCACCTTCATCACCGCTTAGTGCTTTACCAGGATGACCACAAGAGTCACCACTTTCGCCAGAATTACCACGCTGTCTTCTAATAAAAATATTAAAATTCTTTTATTGAAATATTAATACTAATTAAACTTTAATTTAATTAAATTTACTAAGAAAAGATAAACTTATTGCAAGTAAATTACTAAAAAATTTATACAGTATTTCGATATTTAGTAGTAATTTTAATACTTGCCTTGGTATCCAAACGGGACTAGTAGAAGAATTTTTTTCAGGAGAATGTACTTCTGGAGTATTTGATTTTAAAGGCATTGATTTTCTTTGCAGAGCGGTTTTGATGTCTTTCACAGATGTGTCGCTTCCATGATCAGTTGGTGACAAAAGATGCTGCTGCTGCGGCCTATGCGGAGCCGGAGCAGGTGGCGGAGGAGTAACTTGTGCTCCATCTAAAAGATATTAAATGAATTAAAGTATATCAATCTCTATCTTAAGTCATAGACAATTTAAAAACATGATATCATTTTGAATATATTTTCACTAAAAGCATTTAAGTGAAAGTATTCAACTTACTCAGTGGATCTAATGTAATTTTAGTAGAAGCATCCAGATTTCCGGTAAAACGTTTATTAATGGATGTGTTCACAGTTGTCGGATTTGTAGCGGTTTCTCCTTCCAAATCGTCATCGTCTAAGTCGTCATCATCTTCATCGTCTAGATCGTCATCTACATCATCATCCTCATCATCGTCGAGATCATCTTCTTCTTGATCATTTCCTACAGCATCAACAAGGCGACGTTCGCGCTCGTTTACCAACTCCTGGGTGCGTTGGACGATCTCGCGTTCGATTTCGCCTGCGAAAGAAAAAAAATAGTTCAAACTTATTTCAAATGTAAGTTTAAATATTTAAAACTGGAATACTAATGTTTACATAATCGTTATGTTATGCATAATATTTGGATGATATCTTACTAATTTGACGTCGCATCAACATCACTGTTGGATTATTATTATCGTTATCGCTGGCATGGCCACTAGACAAACCATCTTCTAAGACTGGCATGGCGGTGTACAGACGTGCCGCAGCGGACGTGGTAGTCATATCTGCCGCTACCGCACCCAAATCTCCTGAGGACCCACGAAGACCACCCGAATGACCTACGACATAAAATCATAACATCAACTCAAATAATTAATTGACTCTATCTAAGATAATTTTGGATAACAGATTCGAAAAAAATACGTGCAATTTCCTTGTGTAACTTTACCGAAATCATTTTCCATCATCATCAACGACATCTCACTGTCTAGATCGCCGCAATTAGAATCACAGTCGGTGGTTTCCGGAGACAATGTAAAATTTCTAGAGTTGCCAACCTGCAGGCCTACTTCCGTTTCCCCAAATTCCTCACTAGATCCAGTACCAACAGACAATTCTAAAAAATTGTTGGTACGTTCATACTCCTCGTGTTCCTAAAATAAATTAACAGCAATAAAACATTTTTATATAAATAATAAATTAGTGATTGATAGCATTGCTGATTTATTATTCATACATTGATTTTTTGGTATTTGTAAGCATTCGGAAAAATTAAGAAATTAAAAGATTGACGCGACATTTTGTGATACAAAATTGCATTATCGTGGACTGTATAAATAGATGGGCTCCAGCGCATTAAAGTCAACGCACGGAAAGAAATGCTAAATTTAGAACATTCGTTTTACATATATAGAAATTATTTCGAAATAGTTATACCATATGCCATATTTATTTCGATATTTTTATTTTATGTTATTAACTTCAGAATGCATAGTAAATTTTCCAAAATTTTATCGAGCTCTAAATACGCTCTAATGCAGAATTCGCACCTGCACCCTTGCAAGAGGTATTGAAAATAGTTAAATTTAAATTTTATTTAGAAAGCATGAAGTGGAACTATAATGAAAACATATAGATGAAAAATAAAATATTCAAAAATCAGCCAATGAGCAAAAGCAACTTTATATAAAAATATTATATATCTTTACAAAAAGTTTAAAGCATCAGAATATTTTTCTGTATGCTCTTATTTTCTTAAGAAAATAACTGAAACGTTACAAATCTCAAATACTGAAACCTAATAAATAACAAAATTTTCTTTTAAGCAAAATATTTGCAAACTTACAGTAGAAGTGTCTTATTTGCGCTTCCTTGCGGATTCTTTATTCGCGGCTTTTTTATCGAACGTATACCCAGCGAATAAGGAGCTTATACTATAGAATAGTGTAGAATTTTGAAAAATATATTTAATAATAATTTTTTAAAATAATAACTATATTTCTTTGTGTCCTTTACAAAGAAACTAAGTTTGCAGTAAAAAACAAAATACCAAATTCATGGAAAAAATCATATAACATTTAAAGAAAACGTACTCTTTGAGAATTATTGCTTTTCCGTGGAGAGTCGTTCGCAACAATTTCGTCCTGATTTGACGGAGATTTTGCAAGTCTTTGACCAACATATGAACTACTTGAATCGGTCTGTCTGTGCAATTCGTAATCTAAGTCCTATGGAAATTAACAAGGATTATTAAAAATGCCGCAAATTGATAATCATAATTTTATGCACAAATGCATTAAAAGTTTACTTACATTAAAATCTAAGTCCAATTTATTTTCGTCTTCTCTGGGACATTTGAAGAACTCTTCGAGCACTTTACGTGTTTCAGAAAATTCATATAAGTAATCAAAAGTTGAATTTACTGCCGGAGAAAGTTCGGTTGACAAAATATTTAGAGAATCGGGCGTAGTATTGGAACTATCTTCGATCTTATTGGAATGAATTCTCTGAAATATAAAATATACGACTCAAAATTATAAGGAATGAATAATTACCTAATAAGTTTTAAAAAATCTATAAAATATCTGATAATTTGATGTGCATATGTCTAATGATCATTTTTGACCGCCAAATATCTTTTATTAACTTCCAGAAGGAAAAGTTTATGTTTTCATCAAAAAATCCGATTCGCTATATTTCGATTTTATGTTTTCTCAACGTTTCAAGAATCGAATTAGACCAAACTTGGAAGAAGTATGTGTGTGTGTGTGCGTGCGCCTGTGCGTGAAGAGATTGTTTGCCGTAAATCGACGTTTTCTTAAAAACAGCTGGACCGATTTCAAAAATTTAAAAGCCATTTGATGTATCTCGATGAGGACCATCGTTTGTTAGTTTTGTCGACGATCGGCTGAGCCGTTTCTTTGTAATTTGGAAAAAAGTGTAAACTTTTCGTCCACATTTTAAAAAATCAAAAACTGTTCGGAAGATATTAGTTGAAAATGATACTGATTAGTTTTAGGTGAAAATTTACCGAGCCGTAAATGTAATTTTGTAATTAACTGTTGAAAAAAAAATTTAAGCCGATTTTTATGAAACTTTCTTGGCGATACATATCATGGTTTTATAGAACTTACTGAAATATTACGGCCTTACGATAAGTAGTTAAAATTTGAGAAAATGAGTAGTTTTTTTGACGTGAGTTAAAATTAAAATTAGACGATTTACTTGGTATAAGTGGGAGTACTTGGTCTTAATAAACATACTAAATCATTAAAGTCCTACGAAAACTAGTTCAATTATAAAAATTATTGATTTTTGAAAATTTGCTTTTAGAAAATACTCTGAGTCAACGTTCGTCTTTAATTATGTGTGATAATTCCACTCGAAATACTTTTAATCACTTACAAATTAATTTGTTTTTTATTGATTAAGTCGATTATTTACACATATCGGAAAGTTCATGTAACTTGCCTCAAGGCAAAGTACCAATACCAACTAGTTTACATTTTCATCTATATCTCTGAAACCGCTATACCTTTCTACCTAAAAAATTTATCAATTCTTCATTTTGTCAATACAAATAAAATGTTTTTTGAATCATTCAAATCGGACGTTCCGTTACCTCAAAAACTGAATTACCATTTGTAGCACTTTTTGCCCCGTATCTTTGAAGCGGCTGGACCTATCTTCGCCGAAAACTAATCACCACGTCTCCCGATCAGTAGGAATCGAAAGTTTTTTGAATCATTCAAATTGGTTGATACATGCGCCCAAAATCGTAAACAAAAATTGTATCCAAATATACATATACACAAACACATCCATTTTTTCTAAGGTACTTATGCCAAAATGTTCAGAAAACTTTGAAACGTAAAGATATGTAAAAATTTTCATTTTCGATTTTTTTGCGATTACTATAACTTACCCTAAGGAAAGTTATAATTATATATAGATTAACTCTATCAGTGCATCGTGGACGCAGAATAGAATTTTTATCGTATATTTTTGAAATGCAAGATATTTCATTTATTGAAGCATTATTTATTAATTGTTTTTATATTTAGTGTATATGTAATCAGTTGTAGAAATTAGTTAAACAATCAGCTGGAGAAGTATTTATTATAAAATCAACCACGGAGGTTAGTATAATCGTTCTGACATATATTTTAATTTATAAATTTTTGTAATGATTAGTTATTTTCAGTATATACGTCTTCTCCAATGCAAATAATTGATTTATCACATAATTATCTAAACTTCTAACGCACCAGTCAAAAAACATAACATCAATCCAGTGATATATGAATATTATACATAGATACATATATAGAGTAATAAGATATATGGTATTATACATATTCATTCTTCATAGTTCCATTAGTATCAGAACTATTCAGTTAAGCACAAACTGATATAAGTTGGTTTTCAATTGTAGAAAGAATGACAGAGTCTTGATACCTCCTATGGAAATGGACTTCAAACTAGGGAATCTTGCTTCAATCAATTAATATTAATTCTTTATCACAGAAGAAACATGCAAGAAAAAAAACTTTTACACATTATATCGATTAAGTGTTGAGAAGAAAATAAATCGTTGAGTATTTCTGAAATGAGGATCTTGTGCTACAGAATTCGTGTACTAATATTCTACATATAGAGAATTTTAACTATTATGCTTTAGTACTAATTTGTAATGCTTTACTTTTAGGAAAAAGTCAAATGTTCTTGATATGATCATAATGACTACATATGACTATATATGACTACATAGCTGATATTAACTTCAAAATAATGAGTATGCTTAGAGGTAATATTCACAAATAACTAATTTTTTTATTAATGTTCACAATATTTTCAATTCAAAAGTTGATTACAATATTTCTAACATGTTTGGTTCTATTTTAGATACAACAGATGCAAATGGTGGCATGTTTTCAGATTGGCAAAAAAATATTGCCAAGAGAGTTAAACAATAAAACATAATACATATTATGAATAAATAAATAATTATTTTAATAGGTTAAAACTTTATGGGTTATAAAATTTTAATTTATGAGTACCTGAAAATGCTTGCGAATCGCCTCGATCTTCTAAAAAATTTTAAATCAATATATTTTATGTGCTTTTAGTTATATCTAACTTTCTGTGTACTAAATCCAATATTATTAGAAAGTATTTAAAAAAAGTTAACGTAAATGCTTATATAATTTTAAAGATAGACTGTTAAAACAGTAAAAATAATAAGGGGGGAGGGTATAAGCGCTATAAAAAAATGGCATGCAAACGCTGAGGACCCCAGGACCGGCCCTGGTGATAACTATATAATATGTAAATTCTGTAAATTATAATTGAAATTGTTTACAAAAAATATTAAATATCCAAAATAGATTCTATATTTGCAGGAAATTAAATTAAATTATTATGTAACATCAAAGACATCTACACGCTTTTTTATTTAACTTAGATACGAGGCAAAAATGTAACTGTGTCGTATTAGTATGCAACGTAACAGCCGGCTGCGTTCTTGCCCGCAAAATAGTTACTTCTGTGTAACATTCATGGCTTTATTACGTTTTGTGGTTTACTGGGTTTATATAAAATATATTTTTATAAAAAATAAATATATTTCAGTTATAAAATATTTAATATATTTTACAGTTTTCTATAAAACTGTAAAAATTACCTAATAAATATTTATACAAGATATAATAATAATTTTACATAGCACCTTCCTCGTCTATCTCTTCCTCGATTTCAAGCTTTCGTAGGTTTTCTTCAATGTAGTGCATAACATCTGTGTTACGTCTAACGTAAGGAAAGCCCAAATATCTTCGCAAACTATCGCACTCCTTGATGTATGAAAGCCAATACTTATTGTATGTGAGACACTGGGGATTCCCCACTATTATTAATTTGCTTTTTGCTCTTGTTAGTGCAACGTTGAATCGCTTTTGATCGACCAAGAATCCAAGGTTATAGTTTTTGTCGTACTCGAGTAAATCGGATCGTCCTCTGACCGTGGATATGATCATAATTCGCTTCTCTCGTCCTTGAAATGTTTCAGTACTGCCGACTTCTATGCTGCTGAATTGGCCTCCCATCTTTTGTAATGACGCTTTGATTTTGTATACCTGTTTTGCGTAAGGTGATATGACACCGATATCAGTTCCTATTACTGGCGGATTCATACTACTCCCATTTCCAAATTCATTGAGTAATTTTTCAATGTATTTCAGTACAACGTCCTTTTCCATTGTATTAAAATAACTCGGTGAGTGTCCTTGTCTACATTCACTTGCTGCGACTCCATAAAATTCAATAGCTTCTCCACCAAAAGGCAATTCATCCCACACGTCTGCTTTGACTACAGGATCCAATAATGCTTTTTTTGAACAAGGCTGCAGTTCATTATTGTAGAAAAATTTATTCGGTATTTTAATAATATCTGGATGAGAACGGAAATTTTTAACCAGTTTTGTGATGTACTTCTCATCTCTGTGTCCGGCTTTGCTTTCGTACATCGTATTTGTCGATATTAATCTTTCCATCAACGATACACCCAGCCCAATGTTTTTAACAACTTGACTTTGGCAAACAGGCCCCAATTGTTTCGGATCACCTGCCAATATCATTTGACCGTCTTCCATCAATAGTCCACCCAATGGTATAAGAGTCTCCGTTTCCATAGACTGAGCTGCTTCGTCAATGAGGAGGTGTGTGAATTTAAGATCGGTTTTCGCAATTTTTTTCGATGCTGTATATTTTCCTGCTAACATCAATGTACAGACAACAATCTTATAACTAGAACCACTCAATGCAGAAGCTTTGATTTGGACAGACCTGCATGCTTTTCCATTAATGGGATCCAATTCCAAATTGCTGTATTTATATATCTCATTCGGTATAGAAGCAAATTCTCTGGTAGCCGAATGTATTCGAATCAGTTCTTCTGGATCAAAATACCGTATTAGTTGACATGTGAGAATATCACATGCCATATTTCCAGGCGCACAAATTAAAATTTTAGCCTTGTTACTATATTTTATTATTTGCACAATAGCTTCCACAATGGTAACAGTTTTGCCTGTACCAGGAGGCCCGAATAGAATATAAGGAGCAGTTCCTGATGATTTGTTCACAATGTTCTTGATGGCTTCTTTCTGTTCCTCATTGTTATAGATATGCCCATTCATATATCTAAATTCAGTAATCCAGCCTCTGTTACTCTTCGGAGACAATGAAAGATTCTTAGAGTTACACTCACACATTTCAATAGCTTTTGGAAATAGTCTGTCAATATAATTATCATATAAATTTAAAGCCATATGTATCCGTTGATATCGAAGGCGAGAAATGATAAATCTGACGTCTACCAACGCCTTGTTTTTTACAGCATCAAGGAAATCTTTATTGAAGTCACTGATTTCAATAGCAGTATCGTAAATTTTACTAATGACTCCTTCGTAAATGGGACAGTCGATGTATTTAACTGGATCGTCTTGATGAAATCTGACCTGTAATCGGTCTCTGACCATCAGAGACGGTCTGTTTTCTGCCAAACCAGGAACTTCAAGAATGGCATAGGTTTTAATAGGACTAGCAGATACTTTCATGGTTACAGCTTCCATGTTATATTTCTGAAGTTCTATGTCCATTGCAGTCTCTTCCATCCACATCAGGTATTTGAAGTAAGTGTTGTAATTATATTCTGTCATGCCAGTTCCGTCAACACTGAATAGTGTCTCAAACTTTTGCAAATATACTGATTCTTCTTTATTTAAATCAACTTCTGCAAGCTTAAGAAATTTCAGAATAGGATTTAGATAAGTTTTCGGCACTATATATTCTCTATCCAAAGCACTCCTAACGTTAGCAGGAATAACTTCTGAATACACCCAAGACTTTCCTGTGTATGCGTCTCGAACGTTGTCTTTCTTTTCATCCTCGTCTTGACACACATCCTCAATGACAACAACCATTTCATGAATCAAGGTGAATGTTCTTTCCATTTTGATTTCAAAAACAAATGCTAGCGGCATTCTGTACGTACTAATGTGTTTCACAGGTCCAGAAAATGTTAAATTGACAGAATATTTCTTCTTCGGGCTGATCTGCACCACATCATCATCTACATTTCTTTCCATGTGTTTTTGACACTGGTGAAACATTTTAAAATTTGGATGGGGATAAAGCTGCATAATATTTCTTAAAATAATAACTCCACTCTCTCGAACATTTGTTATCTCATATACTAGCTCAATAACTGTGTTCAAATTTACATTCCTTCGCAAAGTAATAGTATTTGTTCCCAAGATCATAGATTTTTTAGCACGAAGAATACACATCATAGATTTTTCTCTGAAAACGGAAGACTGCTAAATCTGGCAGCACAACGTTTCGTACATCGTAAACGGCAAATTTTCCAAGTATAAACGCATCAAGTGCAAGCAATATAATTCAAACATAACTCTATAATTACATTCGAATAAACTGTTGTTTTCATTATATATTATTAGCGAAATATATTAAATGAATGTAAGTAAGTTTGAAAGTCGCGCGTGTTGTTCTGTTCTACGGTTGACAGAACGTTGTGTGAGCAAGTTCGTACGGAAGAGGAGAGGCTAAAGAGGACGAGGCGGGGTCAGTCCGAGTGACGAGAAGATATCATTTATACTTGTTTATCTATGGATCTGTAGTAGATAATTGAGTCAAGAGAGTATATTTGATGGAATGAATAAATGTATTAAAAGATTACTGGAACGTGTTTTAGTTATTCAATTTATGTAAGATTTCCTGACAAAGATAATAATATAAAGTTTTTTTATATAATCAAGACGGTTGATATAGACTCAAATTCGATCTAATTTTCATTTCAGCTAATCAACAACATTCCAATAAAAAACACCATATTTAGATTTCTTGAAAATATCACCTGTGGAAATCCTGGCCGAGGAGGAAACAAAGACGTCGAACTCGGGGCCGTCTGCTGACCTCCGATGAGGCTTTGTGTATGTGGAATGTTGTGAAGAATCTGCAGATTGTAAAAAGAAGAAATATATTATAAATCAAACTGAAATAAATAATATTTGTTCGAATTAAATGTTTGCATTTCGCACTATATGAACGGAACTGAGGTAGTCAGTACTTTTCTTTTATCTATGGAGGTAGCTCATATTGATAAGAAAATATGCAAGAAGATGTTAATTTTGAAAGTAAAATATAAATGATGCCATATCAAAGACTAATTTAATATAATATAATCTTTTCAATCATAATATTGAGTATTATTTCGGATGATTTTAACATAATGATAATAATGGGTATCAGCTCCGAAACTCTGTGAATTGAGTTAAAATTCAAATCAAAGCAGGAAAATTTGGTTTCAAAGCCTTTCCACTGCTTCATTCATATCGCAGTGCCCGTAAAAACTATTATCAACAAAAGATATTTGTGATCAGTAATTTTGAGTTAAATTGAATATTAGGTTTCTAGGTGAGGAGCACCTTAACAGAGTACCTAAATACCAAAGATGATTAACGACTGTGCTATGAAATACGTTATTTTGGCCTATAGCCTGTATTTTGTGAATCTTAAGAAGGAAAAATTAAATTTTTATCACCTGATCTTGTGTCCTGGCATTGTCGCATTGGCGAGAAACTCCGTATCGTCTCGGAGATCCCTCATATTCAGCAATCGGCAAACTGCCAATGACCCGTGGTCCGACACGACTCTCTGCCGTGTGTTGGTGATCATCATTTTCGGTATTATTCACCATATTATAAGTCATGCCGTTATTGCGATATCCTAAAGAGTTCATGGCGTCCTTATCGAGATCTGATATATAATTCTGATTCTGTACTGAAGACGATTCTTCGAGATTCATACGTAAACCTAAAAAATAAACCTCAATTAATATCTATAAAATGCGTATAGAAATTGATAGTTAAAGATGATGCAACATAAAAGCTATTATTTGTAAGTGGGTTATTAAGAATATGTAGTTTGTTTAGTTTGAATGTAGCGGCTGGCATTGCGAGTCGGTTGGATAGATGGCTCTAGGTCTCGAGAGAGTGGCCGATCCCGTACTAGCAGACAGGATGTATGTGTGGTAGGAGGGATTGAGAGTAGGAGGAAACAGGCAGGGTTGAGTTCATTATTATAGTCTAGGGTTGAGTTAGGATTGATAGAGTGTGGTTTAGATTCAGGTTATGTGCAAGGAGAATTTTGTAGAGTTATTGAATATAGAGAGTTATTAACGATAGTTGTGTTTTAATTAATTAATAAGAATTACAGAAGTGTTATTCAAGAGGCATATACAAGCTTAAGGGGATATTCTAGTGTAGAGCGATGAATTTTAGGTCATTTTTAAAGTGTCGTAAAAGAAAGCAATGTATGTTTTTACTATCCATTTTTTTACCACTTGTTTTTTAATATTCTTAAAATACTGAACAAAAATTAAAAAAAAATAGTTGAAAATTGTAAAAACTGGCGGCTGATGAAGTGGGTGGTCTCAAAAAATTGGCACCTCAGTCTTGACATGATTTCAGCCCTCCTAGCCATCGGAAATGCGAAAAATTAAAAGATTATTGATCTACAATGATGTCGCAATCGCCCGAACTAGCGATGAGAAAAAATTTTTTTTTTACAAATTGGCGACTGTTTGAAAAAAAAAAGTGTTTTTTTATTGTTTTTTTGAGTTTCTCGAATTTTTTAAAAATAGTAAATATTAGAATTTGAGGATAATCCTAGTTCGGGCTATAGGTAGGTCTATAAACAAGGCTCTCTGAACATTTCAAGTGAATCGGTCGATTAGAACTCGAGAAATCGTGTCAACAGTACTGAAAAAGTCTGTTCTGAGAAAAACGCATTTTAGATACTAAAACTTTGAAAATACGGAGTTAAATAAAAATCGATTTTTTTTAATTTCTACACTGGAATACCCCCTTAATAGTTCACAAGCTTAAATATTAATTATTTGAAACGGCATAAAATTCTCAGTCAATGTATAAATAATATAACTCTATGCGAATATTTAACGCTTTGTTGACTGGTCACGAGTTAGCTCTTGTGACCGAATGTTGCTGACCAAATCACGAATAAACTAACAAATGCGCATTTTGCCGCGTCGCTGTTGTTTTCCCTCTTGGCGATCATACAGTGCAATTGCTAGTCAGTACAGCACAGGCTGTTTTTGCCTCTTATAAGACCCGCCAAAATATAGAGATATCAATAGCCGGCCAATAAAGCGGTAATATATAAATTATGGTTAAAGTCAGATGGAAACAGATAAAAACTTTTCTTGCATGTTACAAAATATAATCAAAAATGCTTTATTATTTTTTAATTAGCATTTAACTAATTGTTCAGTAATCGAACAATTTTTACAATCAATGCTTTTTTAAGATTGTCTCTATACACGTGCATAGAATGCATTTCTTCTGCTAAAGAATTTCATTAAAAGTTCACCAATTTGGGGTATATTTAAAATTAATTTTATAATTTGATTAAAAAGTAACAACTCTGCATTAGATTATTGCAAAAATGCAGTATCTTGAAAATCTTAAGTCACCTTTCCACGTATCGCCGATATCATCAAATACGACAACTTCACCGTCAGCAACAACAGCAAGACTCCGCGGCGGACTGGCGGTCTGCGTAGGTTGACTAGCGGTAGCAGACAATCGCCCGCCGGCGGTGGACGATGTGCCCAATTCAGTTGCAGATGTTACCGTGTTGCGATCTAGCGGAGAAGCAGGATGTGGCCCCGTCGGACTACTGGGTGTAGGTCGGCCGCTGTTGTTTGATTGGACGTTTAAAGAGCGATTATGGTGTCTTGCCGATTGAATCTGGAAAGAGATAAAAGTGATAAAATTGTATACAGAAGTAGATCTGTAAATATTAATGAATAATTATTTATTCAAGTTAATACCCTTAGATAGTCCTCGTTACTTCGTCTTTGTGTCCTATGTGGTTGTTGTTGCTGCTGTTGCTGAGCGGTCGCGTTGCGGGAAGAAGGCGATCGCCGTCTGCGCTCTCTCTCTTCTGCGTTAGCCGCGTGCCGGGATCTGCGTGCCGCTTTGGTGCGATTCTGCGAGAACAATTCGCGACCACCAGCCAGCTCGATTATCCTAAAAATATTAATATTATAGTGAAAATAATAATGATAAGAAGATTTGTTATTTTTTTCAAAGATATAAAATATATGAATAAATAAAGATTTGAGATACACATATATTACATATTATATGCCACATTCCAAACAATGACAACAGTTCTCTTAAATTATTTCAACTCCTATAAAAAAAAACAGTTCAGCTTCTTAGATCTACAACTTTACCGCAAAAACAATATAATTACTATCCTCTCTCTACTAAAATATGCACAATAATCAATTTAATAGATCATGCTTTATTATTGTCATATAATAACTCTTCCATGAACAACCTCTCAAATATCACAAAATCCTAAGAAACAATTCCTACCGGCAACATTTGTTTCAATTCATAACCAAAAACAGAATTTTATACCTCCAAAACCGTCACTTTCCACTACGTCGGAACTGAAACTTTACCTTTCATAAATGATCTACACATGGAAAAACTCTCCATTAAAGATAATATTAGAGTAGTCTTTACTTTATAAAATAGCTGTTCAACCTGATTTACAAAATTTAAATCTAAGTTATTTAGTTTACAAATTAAATTGTCTAAACTGCCAAAATTTTTACATTAGCGAAACTAGCCAAAATCTACACAAAAGAATCTCTCAACACAGAAATAACTCACAAAATAAGAACCAATATAAAACAATGCTCATTAAACCCTAAATAATCTTCAGCATAACATTGATTTCTTAAACCCGAGTTCAGGATATTTTGAAATCAATATATTTAAAAGAAGATTTAGTGAAGGTTGTCTAATATCGTTAAACAATTTAGCAATTAGCAAGAGACTTGACAGCTATTCGCTTTTTAATGATAACAAGATATTCCTCGACCAATTTTGAAATAACATTATAACTGCATAAAGCGTGTCCCTTTTTATTACTTTCCGGAACCAAATGTATTGATCAGTTTGCACATTTTTTAAAAAAATCTTTGTAAATTCATTCAGCGCTAAGTCTTACAACAATTATATACACAAATTTAGTTTTTTAACTCAAATTCATAACTAGTTTTAAATGTTTGAATTACTGATAGCTTGGTGTTACAATTGTGTTAATTAGTGTGTTGTAATTGTAGACGCCCGGCGCAACGTTTATTAAAAAGTCAATTAATTATATAATACTACACATGAACAATCTATTACCTCAAAGAACCAAATATAATTTATTATTAAAATACACCTATTTTCAGACTTTTAAAATAAGTAATTGTAAAAAATTAAGTTTGGTTAATGATAGTATTTATTTGCGAGGTGTTTAAGGTTTAAGTCTTACGTACAAAATGCTTAAATTTCTTATTACTAGTTAGTTTAGTACCTATACTATGGTAGGAGATTTATTTTATTGATGTCAGGTAGAAGACGATAGAAAATTGTGAGGCTCGAACATTAGTTTACAGGAATTAATTTACATGATTTTTCCACATTGCTTTATTTACTTATGGTATACTGATAAAATTATAGAGAAAAAAGATTAATAATAATCATTAAGAATAATAAGTGGTTATAACAATGTGTAAAAATGATTGATGATATTAATGCTTAAATGATAGTATCTATAGATTATAGTTTTGTGGTAACACAGTTTATGAATTCAGTATTGATTAGAATGTCTATTGGTAACACTTACAAGTTTAGCGTTTAAAGTCTCAAAATAAAATAATTTATGCATTGATTTGTAAGATATGGTATATATCACTGTTAATTGTTAGTACACAAAGTTTTGTTGTTGCACAATTCATCACACTATTGTTTGTTTTATTGGTCACAATTGGTTATTACTGGTTCCTTCCCCTGGATATGTTGCATCCCTTGGAACGCATCTCAATTGCCAATTTAAGGGTTGAAAGATTTTAATTAGACGTACTGATTGCGTATGCGTTTTTGATCTTGTCGCATGCTTCCAAAAGGTTAATCCCTGCAGTCGTGGATTCCGGAATAGTCTCTTGACAGGTATTTTAAGCAATAATGGGTTAGGTTAAAGAAGGTAGATTTTCCAATTAGAAAGTGATTGAGTGTTAAGGATTGAAATTAAAGGAGATTCAGGTGTACAATTTTGTACAGCATCAATCTGCGTTTTAAATAAGTATTCCCAATATCTCATTTTAACGTGCTTTATGAGATTTAATAGATAAATAGATAATAAATCGATAGTTTCTAAACGAAGGGATTTTGATATGTGTAATATAACTTAATAATAGTTTAATTGCTAAATTATTTATTGCCCTTGTGTTAATTGATTTATGTTGTATTTTATCAAAATTTGAACTACTATCTAAATTTGAACTACTATCTGATAATTGTTCAGTTATTATTAATTTAGGTATACGAGTATATATAAATATCTATAGCATAACATATTGGAGCTGTTTTGCCGAAAAAATATTTTAATCATCTATCTTATTGAATCTAAAACTATCTAGTATGTAATAAGATATATCTATAGTTTTAGCAGTTAGTTTGTCAAAACAAAGATAAGGATTTTGTAGAAGTTTCAAATGATTAGTTTTAAAATCATATAGATTTAATTTGTCGTTCCAAAAAAGTTTTGATTAGTTGACAGTAATGTAAGAATTTTATTTTATATGTATAATAATTTTATTGACCGTTGGCTTACCAAACCAAAAGATTCATAAGACCTTTTTGGTATAGTATGTTTATTGCGTCTCAGATTTTTATTGATGGCGACAGAAATTTTTATATCAAATCGCCCGGTAATTCTTGTAGTATTTGGGGGTAAGATTTTGTTTTTCGGTTTGTACCTGGATTTCTAGGTTTAAGCTAGAATTAGAACGGGATGCGTGTTCCCGTTTAAACCGATTTGAGTAATATGCGTATCGGGTTTCTTGTTAATTAATTTAATGTTTTTGTTGTAAAAGGTGTCGTTGTTCATTACAAAGTTTGATTTATTACTTTTTTTAAATGTAGAGTCTGCTAACTTTTCAAATTTTGGATAAATGTTCGCGTTAAATGAATTTTCCGGAATGCTAGTTGTAACTTTATTATTTTTGTTTCGTGTTTCTAATAATTCCGCCGCGAATAAATAGTTTTTGTCGATTACAGGTAGAGAGTCGATTAAATTACAATCTAGACAATTAATTTCGAACGACTTAGAAATCTCGTCTATCAAATTAATTGTCTAGATTGTAATTTAATTTACGTAAGATAAACAAGCCAGAACCTAATGAATAAAAATAATTCAAAAAATCCGAAGCAATTTAAAACTATGATAGCAGAGCATATTTATTCTTTAAAACACAATATGAACTTTTCTAACCCGACTGTACTACAATTCGAACAAAATTTATTCAAACGAAGAATTATAGAAGGATCTTTTTTAACTATTTACAGCAATAAAACAATAAATAAACGGAATGAACTTAACACGCTGTTCGACACAAATCTCTTTTATTTAGATAGTATTTCCATATTTCTCACAAAACAATAAAAACGACGCGCAAAATATTCGCAAATCGTTCCACACATGTGTAGAATCTTGGTAAAAAATATTTTTTTAAATGTCCTTTCTCCATTATATCTTCAACCAGTCTACGAACAACACACTATCCAATTGTGATTTTTTAAATTAGTATTTCGTGAAAATATTGTGTAATTACAAGTTTAATGTTTATAATACATAGTGTAGTGCATTATCATATCCTGATACCATGGATTATTAAAATTTTCCAGTTTAACACTAAGATTAACTAATTGTAAATACTATTTACTATTTTATTTTTTCTTTTCTCTCCAATTCAATTATTTTAGTTTTTAATTTTGTTTTTAGTTTCCACTGAATGAAGGCTAGGATTATAGCCGAAACGTAAGGATTTAAAATAAATTTTTGAAAAAAATTCATGTTTTTTATTGATGTTATGCCCGATTATTAGACTTTGTTAATACATATGTCAATATCAAATTCAGAATCATACAAATATATATATATATATATATATATATATATATATATATATATATATAAGCTACAAATAAATATAGAAATTTGCATTATGTTATGTGAGAAGATAACTCTAGAAAGCTATACCCACTGGAAAGTTCAACCTAAAATTATTTATCAATTATAAAGTTATAAACTGATATATGCATTTGAAATACAAGAGCTACTCTACTAATTGAATCAAAGTACTGCATACGGCTACGAATTACATGTCGGACATCTGTGCCCGCAGGGTTTCCCTGCTTGATGCTTCTGGTTCATTTTTTTAATTGTTTGATAAAATACACAATACAAATAATTAGAAAACTATAAATAAATGGGCCATTATTAATAAGAAAACTAGTGGGGCGCATGGCATCGTGCCTTAAGACAAATTGCTTGAACTTTCCGTACCGTTATTAGACATTCGAGGAATGAAAATAATCAATAATTGTTTTGTATCATTTCAAACATATTATTTATTACATACTGTAAACTTATAAGTGCTTTTTTATGAGTACGTTTACAAGAGTCCATTTTTTTTAATTCAATTTTTTTGGAACATAAATCACTGTTTTAAAGAGTTCTAAGAACAATATTAAGCTATATATGAAAATGGGGTTTTATAGTCCTCAAAATAAGCTTTAAAATAAGTATTTCTGCATGTAAAATGGGTGAGCTATCATGCAAATAAAAGACGCATATAATGTTTTTTTCATTTGAATCAAATAGTTTATCAGTTCCATTTCCACCAAAATTAAAAATAATCGTATTCCCATCTAGAATTAACTTGGTTTAAGAGATCTTGATGGATTCTAGGAAATACCATAACTTTAGTACAAACGATTTTCAAAAACACATGATTTCATGAAAAAAATCCATTAAAAAATAACCAATTTCTCATTATTATCTCTGAAATTCATTCTTTCTGACTAATTATTGCTTTTTATTATTTTTTTGTTACACGAATATTGATAGAGTTATAATTGTTTGAAGAGTGCGCGGCAGTAAACCAGAGTGTCTTTCAAGC